AAGGACTCTACAGTAGTTTTAATTATTATGGACGCTTTCGAGCTGTACACATAAAGCATATTTGTCGACATGCATTGCTATCATTATCTTTTGTCCTGCATTTTAGATCCTTTATTTAAATGAACAGTTTTGGATTTTCTCAAGAAGAGAACAGTCAAAGTAAACTTTGTTCAAAAACGCAAAATACTCTAAAGTGTTCTTTCGTTTAAATGTTTTCGAAGACACTTCACCCATATACAATCGTTTGAACGACCGCTGGAGTGCTAGAAAATCGTTGACTGAGAATACGCATATAAAAAGCACAGACTCTGATATACTAAAGGTAAAGAAAACCTACTTATTGAAATTATCAAACAGCGTACTAAAAGCATGAATGAAAGTTGTGAAGATAACATATCTGTTGCTAATAAGCACAGGAAAATAAAGGATCACAGTTTAAGAAATAAAGACATGAAGTGAGAATGCCTCTGATGTGTTCTGAGTTTCGGCCAGCAGGAAACTGAACTCAATCCTATACGATCTCAGAAACCTTAGAGATCAGGTAAGAAGTAAAGAGATGTTGTTGCAATTTCGTCCATTTAGGTCGCACGCATCCGCGCAAAGCAAGGCAGTTCAAATACAGGTGACTTGTTTGCTTTGTTTGACGAACCGATATAGTTTCTGTTGTCATGCTATTTTTATTCGATCGTATTCTAGATCTCATTTCTGAAATGTATTTTGTTATTTGCCTAATTTAGTGCACAATAAACCCAGAAAGTCCAAATACAAACAAACACACATATGCAGCAGGGGGCAGGACGATAGACTTAATGCAGTTGATTAGATAAACGCACCATCGAGGTCTTCAGTATTGATTCAATGCGATGGTGGACTTATCTTCCGATCCGCGACATCTGATTCTCGTTGTGTAATTGTTTGGTTGCTTTACCATTCTTAAGTGAATCAGAAAAACATACATTCTTGCACCTAATGACCTTTCTGGTTATAGATCTGGAGACGTGAAATGACTTTCTATGTTTCACCTGAAAAACTGTGAGAGATGACCGCGGCCTCTCTACAGTTTGAAACATCACCTATTACGATAATATCAAATGTCGGGTCGAAATCTGTCGGGATCAGGTGTGAACACAATCGAAAGTTCTTCGATATCTCGGTTACCAATGCCAAGGTTGATCTTTAACCAAAGATTGGTACATGTGAGTTCGGACGCTATGCATTCGAAGAAGTAATGCACTGTAATAACTTACGAAACCCAGTAGTGATCTGATTGATGGTGGCATTTGCCGAATGACTCCAGTGTTCCCTGGTTCGAGTTGGTGGCTATCTTTATTTCAGAGTGAAACCGAAATACCGTTTATAGGGCATGTATAAGTCACGGATTCGGAAACCAAAATCATGCATCCGTTTCGGCATTGCGTTCATTTGGCTGAAAAATTATTCCGTCCCGCCCATAACGATGAAACTACCTAAGCGTGTTGCAGTATCCATGATGCCGTTTAAAATCGTGGCCATCAACTACTGAAAAAGTGCTGGTGCAGATTTGACACTGAAAGGCTGCGATGATTGTTTATCATCAGTACTTTCTTCGAGTAATGAGAAGCACTCACTTGAAGATATGCATCTGGTATGTCCAGTTTGACAAAGCGGATACCACTATTCAGTTTAGAGAGGATATCTTCTGGTGTTGGAATTTGATATCGATGGTCTTCGAGTAAAGCGCTCAGACCCGTTGAGAATTCGACACAAATGCGCACCTAATCACCAGGTCTCTTGGTGATTAAAATCAGAACTGTCCATGGTGACTAATTGGCTGGCTTGAGGACACCAAATTGTCGCAATTGGTCTAGTTTAACGATTACTGATGTGATAATGGCGTAGGGTACAGTGTGTTTGGATTTCAACACCGGCTTGGAATCTGGTTTCAGTGAAGGTGAGGCATGAAACTTTGTGCATTGGCCGAGACTTCTTTGGAATGCAGATGCGAACTTCTTTTGTAGTGATTGTATCGTGCTCGCAATGAAGAATGGATGCATCTTCTGTATGTGGACTTGGGGGCACATCTCGTTCACGGATAAAACAAATAATCCTAACTTCTAAATCTAATCAAGAGAATCAGGTTGGTTTGATCAGTCCGATAATAGGTTCCTTTATTAGTTATTCTCCGGAAGGAAATACAGTTACAATAAGATAAAAAGGAAATGAAAATTTATATATAAAAATGATAAAAACTTAAGCAGAAGTTCATCATCGTAGGTTTAAAATTGGTTCGTTTCGGATCTTCAATGTGTTATTGAGAATACGAGTCAGATAGGGGACCGTTGAATTGCAATACATGTTTATTCGGGAGGGTAAGCAATGATAATTGGATCGCGTTGTAGCATGGGAACAGCAAGCAAATATATCGAGATTGAGCGGATGACTGGGGTAGTGGAGTATCTTATGGGCGAAATTCTCACATGAAGTAATATGAAAGTCACACAGTTTTATGTTTAGGGTGTTTGAAGGAAAAAAAGAAACACGGTTGGTAATTACTGAACTGCGATGAAGAGTAATGAAATCCTTTTTAAGTAGTCCAGGGAAAATAACGGGCAGACACGGAAGTATGGTAGGAAAAATGCATCGATAAATAAAATAGCATGTAGAGTATCTAGTTTGGATTTTCCCATTCGATTGTTCAGAGGCACCAGGCAATCTTGATGGTCTTGGGTGTTGGTTTCACTCCAGGTGATGACCGTCGACAGTGTAGCTCAGGGGTATGGGTTTGAAGTCCAGACCCAAATGTTCACGGTTAGAATCCTGACAGGGACACAAAAAGTACGCACTGCTGACGAGTCCCAAACAGGACGAAATAGCTTTCCAGTCCTCTTTGTCGGTTACCACAAGCATTTCCATCGTATGTGAAAAGAACATATTGTTTCATGCCTCACTCTAAAATTTCGTAGCTTGCTTATCTGGAAGGATAAGGGATCCAGTTCACCAACACAGGCCAGCACATGAGGGGACCACAGTAGATTGCTCTCTGTAGTGACCCCTAGGTAGTTGATGGTATGTGTTCTGGTGATTGGTACGAAATTGATGACCGAGGGTTCCAAGGGATACTTGGATCGAGAATGACTAAAACACATTTGAGGCAGCTAGAAGCTCAAGATCGGATTGGTTCGAGAATGATTGCACTTGTAACAAAGTGTCGGAAAATGATTCGATGTCGGTTTGGTTTGAAATGGCTTGACATAAGACCACATCATAAGCATATATAAAGGTCTTGGTTGGTGGGATAGGGGATAAGTAACTGATGAATTTGAAAATAAGTATGGAGAAAGCACAGAACCATGAAGGACTCCGGAATTATTCAACAACTATTTTGAAATAGTAACGTTTTTTTCATTCTTTGAATCCTTCCTGTGATATATTCTTTCAACCATGACAATAAATTGGTGGAGTAACTGAATGACTGTAACTTTCGGAGAAGAGATCGTGGACCGGAATCAAAAGCGGAATAATAAACAAGGAAAACACAAGTAATGGGTTATTGAGAATCATCTAAAGATTTGCAAATAAAGTGTATCAGTGAAGAGATAGCATCCAAAGTGCATCTATTTGGCTCGTACGCAAACTGAAGGGGGTCATTGGGAACATTAATACTAGAATGCAAGCGATCTAAGGGGATTAAGAGTGTCATTCTGGCCACAGTGGCAGCGATCGAACTCCGCCTACTTAATCCACCCCTGTTCTCCCTAAACAATTTATAATAAAACTCGGTCTTCCATGGCCAACATACATGACACAGCCATCCCTCCACCCACACCCAATGACCCGAACTAATGCGTACGTGTAAAGTGTGTGCAACGCTGGGTCATGCAAATGGAATGTTGATTATTTTTCACTTTTCATGATTTTTCCCCCTTAAAAGACGGAACATGAGCATGAGCTAAATACGTTTCCCCACATGCTGACTAAGATGAGATGAAGCTGCCGTATTTTACTGCGTGTTTTGACATCTATTTGAATTCTACGTAAATACACTTGCGTTCAATTTGGATTAATGACCTCGCCGTGTATTCGGTGCAGGAAAATGCTTTTGTTTAAGCTGTAAGAAGACGTGTTCGTTTGCTATCAGATAATTTTCAGAGAACAGGATAAATTTCAAAAATTAATCTTAACAATTTTTATTTGTCCCTTGTTGAACGGAGATGCGTTTGCAGGAAAAAAGGCGCCAAATGTTCAATAGCCATTTAAGAAATGTGCCAATACCTTTTGTATTGTAGGGAGTAGAAGCGATCGAGGTTGAACTATCGGGATCAGATTTTACGTTACCAAATCTTCGTGCAAATAATTCACCTCAAGCAAAAAGTGAATTACATTCACATGTCAAAAAAGTAGTGCACTTTGAAATTGCTTTGTTCACAAATACTTAGTGAGTTCCTATTCGTAAGTCTTTTTTTCTACCAACTTGTTAGCATTATCAGTGATAGGCTAATCACTGTCGTGGTTTTAATGTGGGAACCCTGGGAGAATGAACAATTTTCTGTATAATACCGGTTTCCAACTTTGGATCGCAACCACTTATTGTCAAGATGTATGGTACTTTACACTTTGTAGTGTGACAAATCACATACCATCAAATAAATCTGGATGTAAATTATACCACTTTACTCTGTTATATTCCCTGTTTATGTTCACATCGGGAAAAAGTAGTTTCGATGCTGGATTCCTCTCCATGTTTAAACTCATCAGAGTTGCGGTATGGTTTTATTTATCTCCGCGTTGTCCTGGGTCACCACAGTTGACAGTAGTATAGTTTGTCTTAATTCGTACTTGCAAAATCTCGCCTCAATGTATAACAATGTTTTTTATTCAAACCAAGTTTGATAAGATCCGCAGAGGCAAGTTCTGGAACAAATATGCACTCTGACTGGAACCCTCTTGCGCAAATGAAATAAAGTTACAATCGAACACAACCCACCATAATGATCGTTTTGCACCTTTTTCTATCTTTAGATGATGGCAAACGGATCGGGTACCTTAAGAAATTAAGAGATCAGTTGAAAGATATTGTCTCCTCACTAAATGGCGAGAACAATCAAGTCGAGAAGTTTAACATTGACGTTGCACATAAGAACTCACAATACACGGATAAACTAACAGAAGCGAATTTGGTAAGTATGAGGTTGCGATGACATATGAATAACCTTCCATTTTGTTGTAGATTAAGATAACGGAAGAAAATACGGACAGAGTGGCCAGCGGATCGTTGTTCCAGGATTATCATAGTTCCGCTGGAACGTCAGTTGTGATTTCCGGTGACGCACTGACGGAACAGGCTAACTCTGTGCAAACCCAATCCGAGTGTCTCGCAGAGGCACTGAAGAGATTGAACAGCACTGCTGAGACTTTAATGAATTTTCAGAAGTCGTAAGGGTCATTAGGTTACGGTTTTCATTCAAATTTTTAATCAATATATCCCCAATTAACTGCTATATTCACGTTGCTTATGAAATAATCGTTATAGTTCACAAAATTCTTTCAGAGATCACCCATTTTCCGACAACTGATGCAAACGCGTGCAGGTAAGATTATATAATATGATGTGGTTATGCATTGTCTCACCACTACAGTGAGTGCGTATACAGACTGAAACTTCCGCTTAAAGAAATCAACTGGTAGACACTGCAAATTGGTGACGGAATGATGGGAGATTTCTCGATAGGCCAGTTACAACGCGTGTTAGTGGGTTAACAAAAGCAGCCGGAAGTTCGACTGAAGTTGATCGAATGTTTAGCGTATCGGCTCACCTTGCAAACATCAGATCCAGTTTCACGTGAATCTCAGTCCAGTCTATTAAAATGCTTGCCAATTCAGCCACTGAATTCAAGTACACTCCTAAAGCTGGTCACACTTTCGAGTCGTGGGTCTAACGCTGGAAAGACGTGCTTTGCACATGTTTTAGTTGTAAATCTGATGCATAGAAAGTGTGACTTATTGTTCAGAAGCCTGGTGCTGAAGAACACTCCAGATATCTTAGCCGCATTTTAAAAAGCAACCCAAGTATTTGTAATTAGGCGAGGCAATAGCACATCTGTTAGCAATCCTTGAGAGCTCAATTCCATTGTTTAGCATCGGATTTGAGTGTCTGAGATTTGTCAGACGGGAAGTTTGGCATGGCTGTAAAGCTAATTTCTTAGAATATATATACATATTACTGGGAAAACATGTTTGGTGACAACTCAGCATCAATGCAGATAAAAGGAATGATGTTGACTACAAAAAGTACTGGGGAATGAGAGAAAACGGTTATGAAGCATCAAAACAATTCCGGGGTATACCTGGTATGACATGAGAAGAATAAGGACGGCAATTCTATTTTTGCGTATCTGACCATACATCTGCTTATAATGGTTACGGTTCCGTATTGATAAATTTAAAAAAAAAAAATTCAGTAAATGCCATCAATGTAAAACCAACCGAAGAAGAAGAATGTTAGAGTGTTCATGTGGGTTGTTTGTCTACTTCCAGTCTTTTTTCTGTAAGATAAACGCATATTTCCCTAGAAGTTTTGAAATCCTAGTGCGGAAAACCCTAGATTTTCTCCTTCGTTATAAGTACTGAAAGGAGCAGAAAAATTACGAACTACTTCTTTTGTTACAGGCTACAGCATTTCATGGAGGACGAATTGCAAGATCATTTTCAACAGTTGGTCACTGTCATTCAAGAAGAAGCTATCCGTTCTTGCATGTAAGACTAATTTTTGTCTAATCCAGTGAAAATATTTGCAGGACTGCTGTGCAGCGAAACCACGAATTTATGGATATTGAACAATGATAACTCAACTGGGAAGTTTTAAAAACACATGACTGCTTTTGTTACCACTTTTGACTAAAAAATCGGTGACTAAAATACTAACGTTTGTTCACTGAATGAAAACTCGGGGTCAAGGGGTTTATGCCTTTGAGTCGAAAATATCTTTTTTTAACAATGGTTCAAATCATGTAGGTGTGAGTTCGAATAGTTATCGACTTCAATTCTGATTGAATCATGTTTTAGTCAATACTGAACGTTTTACACAAATTGTATGATAGATGAGTGGAATCGAATGAATTTTTCCTGTTCGCCGAGCTTGGCAATCACGTTTCATCACCAACCGAGGGGGCATCTTCAATGCGTGTGAAATGGCAGTATTCTGCTGAGCGTTTTGATTCTTCCGCACAAGGTCCTGACACAGCATCTTTTGTGGCTCTGTGGATGATTATTTTTGAAGTTTAGGATTTGATCCCTATGCGTTACTTCGCGGTAGATATTTTTCTCTAGGTTTCTTGATAGCTTTCTGGGGATCAAGATGTCAGTAGTTTATCCTTCTCTGTCTTCACTGTGAATTTGCTTTCATTGAATGTGTTATTGATGATACTGCATGTTCTTTCAAGCTCCAAGCTGATCAAGGTGTTGGCGCCAAAGTCCGGCATGATTATTGGCAGTTCTTTTTTCTCCAGCTTCCACGTAATGAATTCGTCTATGAACCCGGAAATTGGTGATCCCATTGGCATCCGTTTCAGCTGTACGTAGATTTCACTCTAGGATTTTATGTACGTTTGCATTTATGGTTCCATGAGTTCACATATGGCATCTGGTTCTGTTGGTTGGTTCGATGGGTGCTTATTTTTCAACTCCCGCAGCATGGATCTTGCCAGATCCTAGTCGATCAAAGAGGAGAAATGGAAAGAGACCATTATGTTGTCTTTTTGGACGAAAATCAAAACTGGGTCCGCACACGATGGAAAACAAACCCTCATTAAAGGACCTAACTTCAACCCCAGAAAGGACAATTTGACGGAACTAGAACTAACTCTCAAATCTCATTGGTGCTGGGGCGATTATTTGTCGGTTTTTTTATCATCCGCATATACCGTGTATCCCAATTGTCTTACGCAACGCTTTCTTCGTGCGATGAGTGGCTGAAGGGTATTCGTGATTGTGAACATGGTCAATGAAATCTAAAAAAAATTA